TTTTGTGGTGCCTGACCCATCATGCAGGATCCCCCCAGTGCTAATCTTTGTGCTATGCATAAACCAAACAAACCAGATTATAACTTAGTGCCAACTTCTTTATGCACTTTATCTTCCCCAAATAGTCTGCCTCTATAAATAGAATAGCCATAAATATATCAACTTACATTAAGCCAAGCGTAGCTCATTTAAAATATATCAATATTTAAGGGTAAGACAGCCCCTTAGATCAGTTAAGTGATATCTAGTGTCAATTATATTGACATTGTAGTGATAAAGAATGTCAAACAAAAGAGTGCTTTAGAACAGGGTTCCTCAACCGTGGCAATTTGAAGATGTGTGGACTACACCACCCAGAATTCCCCAGCCAGCATAGCTGAATTCTGGGAATTGAAGTCCACACACCTTCAGGTTGCCAAGGTTGAGGAACCCTGCTTTAGAAGGAAAAATAAGACATGTGTTCATATACATTAGAGAAAGAGAGAGAAGAAGAAAAGAAAAACCCTTCTGTCTCTGTAATAGGCTGTGAGATAACCTTGAGGAAGAAGAGGAAGAGCCACAGGTCAGATAAAAGAAATCTAAGTCCAAAGCAGGAATGGAATTTCAGAAAGTCTCTCAGACTTGACCCTCCCTAGTTCTCTTGAGGATAAAGGCAAGGAGCGGGAGGCGCATTCAGAGTTGCAAGATTCTGTTACTGTAACCCTATAATAAAAGGGTTATCGGGTCAGTATTCATGACTTTGGTGTTTGAGTCTGGTGTCCCTTGTCGGGCTGACAGTCCCTCTGCTCTGAAAAAGAGAAGACTTTGCAATCAACCGCTGTGCTCATTCAGGTCTTCTTCAATCTCTTAGCTCCCCCTACAATCTCCCAGGCACCTGAAATCATTTCTCGCACCCGGGCCAGTACCGCCCGATTTGTCTGCAAAGCGGAAGGAGAGCCACTGCCCATCATTCACTGGACGAGGAACGGGAAGCCACTTCTGCCTAAAGGACGAGTGAAGATCCAGGGCACTGGTACCCTAGTGATCAACCAGATTGGCCTGGATGATGCGGGCTATTACCAATGCGTGGCTGAAAACCACCTTGGCATGGCCTGTGCTACAGCCAGGCTAGAGGTGATTGTGCGGGAAGGACTGCCCAGCGCTCCAAAGAGGGTATCAGCTAGTTCTCTCTCCAGCACCACCGTCTTGGTGTCCTGGGAACGGCCAGAGTTCAACAGTGAGCAGATTATTGGATTCTCTCTTCATTACCAAAAAGCCATGGGTGCGTTCCTTGTATTCTGAAGGTGTGCTCTTCAGGCTAATCCTAATGCAAGAAAGTGGGGGAGCATGAAATTTGCATAATAACCTTATAGAACATGGTGAAGAAATATTATGTCCAGGATCAGAGTGAGCTTCTCTAACCAGTTGACCTCTTTGGGGACTTCCCATATTGGATCGACAACTGGGGAAACAGAATGTTGGACTACATTTTAGTTTAGGCTGATCCACCTTCAGGGTTATTCTTAAGTTTCAATCATCTTCTCTGTCCTGAATGGTGAAGTTTTATGCATATTTATGAGTTCCACAGTATTTAGCTAAGTGTCTTTGCTAGTGAGGATGCTAAAGTCATCCTCACTAGCAGCCTTCAAGTCATTCATGCGGGTTGAAAAACATAAATTTTTAAACACAGAAGATCAGGATTTCAAACATTTAGTTGATTGGTTAATTGAATTGATTGAATGAAAAGGTGACCCTTGTTAGTGTGTGTAGATGGGTGTAGACATGAATAGCTTTTCATACACTTATTTACAAAATTACAGGATGACTTTAAACCAAGAAGAAGAAGCTTGTAAGGGAAAGAGCTGACAAGTTTCAGACTGTTTGAGGGATATGTGGGAGTGTGATTAAAGGTGGGAAGGAAATAGTTTGCTTTGCAGAGGCCCCTTGTACTCATTTTCATCTGGGGGGGGCAGTGGGGAAGAGTAGCCAATGATGCCAGCATCTTGGTGACATGATTTTGGTGTTTTGGAGGATCAAGGGAGCAAGTGGACAGTAGCAATGCCTGGACTTTTCTACATCATTCATAATGTCCTGCTAAGATGCAAATGATGCCTTTTATTTAGACATAATAGTTATATCCATATATAGATGTATAGAGAAACACTATTGATTGATCGATTGATTAATGGCTTGGAAGGCATAATTAATTTACAACACACACATATACACACACACACACAAATCCCGCATGTATTAATTAATTGTTCAGTGACAGTCTTGTTGAAGGTTTCTGACAATATTGATGCAGATTACTTGACTCTGAGCACCTTTTAATCAGTCTTGTAATTCATGCATTGGTTGATTATTAAAGCACAGTCAAATGAGGGTTGGATCCAGACTGAATTAGTTGAATTAAGCTCTCAGTGAAAACAGTGGGATATATTAGCCTTTATTAAAATTCCATTGGAAGTTGGCAGTAGAGTTAAGCTACAGAAAGATGGTCCTCCTTGTCCTGCCAAATCTATTTCCTTGTGTGAATAGGGAATGATTTTCCATCTTCTGGATAACTGAACATGTTCTATCACAATTTGAGTCATCAGAAAGGGCAGAAATGAAAGTGTTACCTTAATCTTCAATTAACACCCTGCCCTTTTAATATCTTCAGCTGTGGAGATTAATTAGTGCTACAATATTTCTTTGCTCTTGGCTCTCCCCTCTTCATCAGAATTGTGGGTTGAAATCTGTCCCATTCTTTGCATGGGGACATCTCTAACCAGGAGAGCTTTAAAAGGTTTCATCAACACATTAATAGAGACCTTTGCAAAGGGAATGGGATTAAAAAAGTCAAGGGAGGGTGTTAGATAGCCAAGATTAAAACCCATCTGCTTTTTTCATGTGTGATGCACATTCATAAAGTGATGGGGCTTCAATTGCACAATTGTGGCACCATCTTGACATTTTTGACCCCTCCCCTCCCCCCAGCTAGGATGAAAGTTGTTCAGGGCTTTTTGCGAGCATCTCACAAGCAGCTAGTTTGAAGAAAGGACAAAACTTTCTTCTTCTTTCTTTTTTCTGTCTGACAGCGTTGTGTACCTTCTCTAGGCACTGACAACATGGAATACCAGTTTGCGGTGAATAACGACACAACTGAGTTTCCGGTGAAAGACTTGGAGCCCAACACCAACTATATCTTCTATGTGGTGGCCTACTCCCAGCTTGGAGCTAGCCGGACCTCCTCATCCATAAACGTTCAGACCCTGGAGGATGGTTCGTAGAATAGGAATTGAGAAGATCTGCCCAAGGGCCGCCTGAAACTGGAGGTGTAAATAACCCAGGATTTGCCTGGTCATGATGTGGCGGGTTTGCACAAGATGCCCAACTAGGCTGAAATGGGGTTGCATGGTTTGTGGTTCAACATATTGAGTGAATCAATTACGTTCACATGATCTACTGTTTTGGCTATTGCTTGTTCTCTGAATACAGCAGTTGGGCTGTGTTAAACCGCGTTTAGGGTTTAACATGTCATGTGAATCCAGGCGTATTATGAATTGAATGGGTAGCCCCAGTTTGGGTTTCTAACTAAATGAGATGAACATAATTTGCAGATCATTTTTGTGAACCAGAGAAATGTCTAAGAGCGGATGGATGGAGGCTCCCCAAGTTAAAAGGAAAACCGAAACAAAGGGACAATTCATAGTACAGTTCATAATTAACCCCTGGAACTCCTTGATAGGAGATGTGTTGGTCAGTTGCCTGTGCATGCATGCATGTGTGTGTGAGTACATATGTGGGATATATAATTCCTATAATTATTACCTATCTTTACATGTAGATAATCAGAAATCAGGAAAATAGTACCAATTGGTTAGAATTCTAGAACTCAGCTCCTTGTTCTTTTGAAGGACCATTTCATCTTTTGAACTTGATTCTGAAAAGAAAATGCAAGGTGTTTTGGCCTCTCCAGAAGTGAAGTAAATGTGGGGAGTGGGCATTGTAGGTATGCAGGTAGCCAGTGTAGACCCAATATGTTATATTGGTTAGGAGTTAGGAATATGGAAAGTGGTGTGGGAATCTTCCATTCCATCGATCCAGCTTGCTTTGTGTGCAACTAAGGCTGTTTCCCCACTTATGGCATCTTCATGGCACTATTTACACAACACTGAAATGATGGATAGCCTGTCCTCATTACTGTTATTTTGGAGTAACGACAGTTGGTTAACTCTAGTGCTAGTGGGGAAATGACTTAAGAACCAACTAGCAATTCTCTGGTATTGGAGGCATTGGGTTGTCCAGCCATCCCTGGACATTTTAGGGGTTGAATGTGGGGCTTTTTTGCATGCCAATACCCATAAGCCTTGTGTTTTTATTGCCTACTTGTCTGGGGGCCACAAAAAGTGTATGTGTGTGTGTGTGCTTATGTGTGGAAATGAGAGTGCCTGAGAAATAGTTTTTCCAGTCACTTCTAGTGGACTACCTGTAGTCCCAGGTCCACGTGGGATTTTCCAAGGTATTAAATACAGCCCTCAGAGATTGTCCAAAAATTCCCACTAAATATCAACTTTTAATGTGTCATTAAGAGGAAATCCTAATAATTATAGTTACTGTATTTGATTAATTATATTTAGGGTTGTTGTTTTTTTTTGAAGTGAGCCCCACCTGTTTGCACTCAAAGGACAAGTGTGACCATGGGCTCTTTCCCTGCCCCTCCAAAAGAAAATTTGGGCATCCATGCAAATGATGGTTATAGTTGGCTTAAAGGATCTCGGGTTGTGCAAATCTGGATTCTGGACATTAGCAACCAAACTGGGCAGAATTACTCAGAAACCTCAGAGAAGGAAGAATATCCAGAATTCTTTAAACTCCCAGAGAACATAGGCTAATAGGAAACATATCCCTGGGTGGACACAGCCCTCCAGGTTGAAATGCATCTTCTCGAGCAGAGCAGCTATGCCTCTGATTGCCCGTTTGAGGTGGTATGATCTCTTTTATTGGTTGCTTCCAGTTCCCGGTGCAGCGCCTCAGCTTTCCCTTTCCAGTACAACACCGACCGACATGAAGGTGACGTGGCTGCCTCTCCCTTCAGAACTGAGCAATGGAAGGATCATGAAGTACAAAATTGATTATGCTTCTCTCAAGGAAGGTGAGAAAGAGAAGGCCTGAGGGCCCTATACTGTGGAATGGTTGGGTATTGACACTCTAGAACACTGTTTCTCAACCTTAGCAACTAGATGCCTCAACTTCAGCTCCCAGAAATTCTGGGAGTTGAAGCCCAGACATCTTAAAGTTGCCAAGTTTGAGAAACACTGCTCTAGGACATTGCTTCTCTAAGTGTGGTCAGAGGACCGCTGGGGCGTCCCTCAAGAACCTCTCAGAGGTCCGCAAAATCAAAATTATTTACCAGCCTATGTTGAAAAATAATACAATATTAAAATCCCATCAAACAATCATGAGAAGCAGTAGTGGCAGCAAATGCGTCCATTTTAATTTTTAATATAGTTAAAATTGATGAATATAACCCATACAAACAAAATTATGGTGTCCTCCATCATTTTTAAAAGTGGAAGGGGGTCCTGAAAGAAAAATGTTTGAGAAACACTGCTCTAGAACAATCCTCTTTCACTGGTGTCCGCAGGGAAGCGTCAAGACCACAATGGTGTGATCAAAGTCTGCCCATTTCTATGTGTGTGACTTTGTCCAGTTTCCTACCTTCCCTTTTTAGGAAAGATGGTGGAAAAGGTGGTTGCACAATAGCTTCAGAGGATCCTGGAAGAAACAGATTACCTGGATCCCTACCAGGGTGACTGTCATGGCTGCCACACTGACCTTTCTGACCCTACCCCACAGAGACTCTTGATTGGGTGGCTTCTAGAGTATTGGGATGTCAAATTCTAGGCTTCCTAGTCTGTGTGTTTCACTTCTGTATGTCCCAGGTTGTATTTTAGGGACAAATCTACCCATCGCCTTGAGATTTGCAGGGTGCCTTAGACAGATGAAGTGGGAGTTGAAAATCACTTCAAGGTATTTGGTACAGTGAAAAGCAGAATCCATTTTTTGTACATGAAGAATGCCTGGGCTCTTTTTCCCCTTAACAGACCTGATTTCTTCAACTGAGCTCAGTGGAAATGAGACACAGCTGATGATTTATGGATTACAGCCTGGTAAAGTCTACAAAGTTCGGATTGCAGCAAGCACCGGGGTGGGTTATGGAGCTCCGTCAGAATGGACTCAGCACCGCACTCCGGATTGGGACAACCAAACCCATGGTGGGTGGTCTCTTCTTCAACCTCAGATCCTTCCAACTGTGACCTGACAGTGTAAATAGAAATAAGAGATGGTCTTGGCTCTCAAGTATGCAGGCTTGGAAGGAAGTCATGGCCATTTGAATTAAGGCTGGGCCAAATCGGTAACTCTGTTTGTGAAAATCATGTTCTCGGTGGAAGAGGCAAGGAGAAATCAAAGATTGATAAGAATTTGAGCAAGGGGGAGGAGAAAATCAGCTTACTTGGCTGGTGGGTTCCAGGGGCATCCATAGAGGCCATCATCAGTATCAAAATGGTGGGCATGTCCATCAAAGCCCACCCCTTTTAACATGCATCATGCACTATCCAGTCATACCTGGCATTTTGACATTGTTGATGGCCCCTGTGGATGCCCCTGGTGGGCTCTATTTTTTTTAATAAATGGGTTTAATACTTGTGCATACTTGGAATGGCATACTGCTGCTCTTTTCTGGAAATGACCATCTGACCACACAATGCTGGTCCAGTGATCATTAGTCAGGTAACAAGGTAAACGTTGTGTGATCAAGTCATCGTTCTAAGAATAAGGATGTAGCAATAATCTCTCATGCAAAGTCTCTTTTTTAGAAAGAGACAGAAATAGAGCCACCAAGCAGCTATGGAAAATGACCTTCTCATTCCTTTCCCCCAGTTTGGATTGCTCTGTTCTGAGTCACTTTCTTCCCGTACAAACAGAAGTGGGTTTAAAGCAGAGCAGTCTTTGGAAAGAGCCCTCCTTTAGTTTGGACTGATTGATAGATAGAGAGCAAATTCGAGAAGGAAAGGATGGGGAAAGGTATGGAGATGCAGATAAACCAGAGACTAATCTGGTAAGTGGGACAGCTCCACCAGGTGTTTTATTCATGCCTTTGCTCTCCTTTTTCCTAGTTCCCTTTGCCCCAACTGAGTTAATGGTCCAAGCCAAAATGGACTCACTCTTGGTAAGTTGGCAGCCTCCAGCCAACCATGGCCAGATTTCAGGCTACAAGCTGTATTACCGAGAAATAGCCACCGAGGAGGAGTCAGGCATGGAGATCCCTTCAGAAGGCACAGGCAATAGTCTTTGGGATGTCGGACCCATAAAACTGAAGAAGAAAGTGAAGCAACATGAACTGACACAATTAGGTAAACTTTTTAGAATTGTGCCCTATTCAGGAACTGGTGTGGGTGGATGTTTTCCTTAAAATGGATAAAAATGAACTGGTGATTTTAGGATTTATTGATTAAAAAGGTCTGTTTATGGGAAGAAGGGATCCATGACATGTAATTTGGGAGGGTGGAGAAGGCAATTATTATGCTTGTAACTGCTGCAAAGAAGTCACTTCTTTAGATACTTTTCTCATCTTTTTCTTTCTCTTTTGTTATCTTCCACTTTTACTTTCTTTTCCTACTTTTCCTTTTATGTTTCTGTGTTTTTTTAAGCTTATATAAAATCGTATAGTAAAAATTATTTTTTTTAAAAAAGAACTGGTGTGGGGGTGGTCTGGGACAGGGTTTGGCAACTTTTGGGGACAGACCTTTGACCCCAATGGCTTCCAAGGTGAGACTCTTGTTTATTGCTGTGGTGCAATGCAGGGAACTTCAGTTTGCACCCAACACGTTCCCAGTCAACCCCTGTCTCCAGATTGGTGCAATGGCACAAGCCATGTTGTTCAGCTAGCCAAAGATATAATAGCTTGATGCTATTCAGCAGATATCAAGAACAGTTAATTGGTAAATGGAATAAGAGGCAGAGAGAGAGAAAGAGGCAAATGACAGGTAAGAGATAAAAAGGCAGAGGGTTCATGTCAACAATCAGGAATTTTCATGATCTTCTTTCGGTTTTATTGTCTTTTATCTTATCATGTAAGCTGTCCATAGTTGCCTGAAATAAGGCAACCTCTAAATTCAATAATACACACCTAGATAGATAGATAGATAGATAGATAGATAGATAGATAGATAGATAGATAGATAGATAGATAGATAGATAGATAGATAGATAGATGATATAGATAGATAGATAGATAGATAGATAGATAGATAGATAGATAGATAGATAGATAGATAGATAGATAGATAGATAGATAGATAGACAGACAGACAGACAGACAGACAGACAGACAGACAGACAGACAGACAGACGATAGAGACAGACAGACACACACATACACACCCCAAATGTTTCAAAGCCACTGGAAACAACGTTATGGATAATTAGCATGGACAGTCCCAAAGGGAGTGGCCTTTGATTATTCCAGCATTAACTCTTACATGTACACAACAGCATCAGAATAGTGATGGAAAGTGGGAGACCAGGTGACCCCTCCTGTATTCTGCACCATGAAAGAAACAATCTGGTGGACAGGAATGATGTATCCGAGACAAAAGACCAGAACTGCGGGAGAAGGTCCACAAGTCTTGGAGTTTGGAAAAAGCACGATCGGGGAAGTTGTCAGGGAAAAGGACCTAAACCCTTGGCTGCTGTTCCACATTATTTCTTTGACCTTCTATCTGGTGAAAAAGGCATCCTTTCCTAACCACGATAATGTTGAAATGATCAAATTTCACATTCACTTATAGACCAAAATTTGATATAAAACCTCAAACAACAAAACTTTGATTGGCTGATTTGCTAAAATGGTGAGCTATGCATTGGGATGTCATAACGAACCTCCGTCCTTGGGTGCTTGTAATGTGAGGTCACATGCAGGCTCATAAGGGGTGGGGTTTTCATCATGATGTCACAGCACGCATTTTGTCACTTGTCCTTACCCTGGGAATGCCTCTGCATATAGGGAAAACTTGGGATTTACCCTTTTAATTAACCCTCTGGCCAATTCTGGACCTCCCTCCCCCCCACCAGCCACCCGCCCATTTCTCCCTTTGTCCTTCTGTTCATGCTGTTGCCCACGTTATTTTAGAGCAGACAAAACCCTCTTGCTCTGGAGAGCCAGCAAAGAAGGTTGTTCAAATGCGATTTCTCTTCCAGATGCAAATGTGGATGAACCTTTTGATTCTTCTACCCCATCTTGTGCTTTTTCTGATGGGGAAGGCAATCTGGAAGCCAGCCC